ACGGTTGGGGTGAATTTATCCCGGGCCCGTGGCTAAGCCGGTTCCAGGCTGGCTTGTTGCAGGGCCCGGGCGCGTGCACGGCACCTGGCTCTCCAAGGCCTCACACCTGTCACATTAAACCCGATTCCCTGCAGCGGCTGGTCAAAGGCACTTTCAGAGCGAAATCTCATTGCTCAGCCCCCAGCTGTTCCCACTGCAGGGCTCAGGCGGAGCGGAGGCGGGCGGAGAATTCAATTAAAACCAAGCAAATCGTGGCAGAGGCTTGGCTCTGTTTGAACGCTCACGCCTGGGGAATTCCGCAAGGGGCATTGCTAGCCGCCAGCCTGGGCGGGGACACGGTGCCAGGCCGCGCCCTGCGCCTTGGTGGGTACCCAGCGCCCAGCCGAAGGGTGAGGTCTGCCCAGCGCCATGGACCTGAGCAGCCCTGGGGTCACATCACCAGCCAAGTCCCCCGTGGGTTACTGGCCTCTCCGGCACCCCTCCCTTAGCCAGCCTGCTTGGGGAGGGGTCGCATGGGCGTGTTCCTCAGGGACCTGTGCAGGGCTTGGCGTGATCACTGCCAGCCAGCCCGCCGGGTGTCCCCAGGGCCCTGCCGGGGCAGAGCAGCTGAGGGAGGGGGCACCCCAGTGGCCGCAGTGCGTGGGAGGGGCCTGCTGGAGCGCACATGTGTATTGCATAAGGGCTCCGGGCTCCCAATTCAATTGAAATCATTTTTTTGGCATGACAAGATAGAAATGGTGCCAGATTTAATCCATCACGCCAGGCTGGAACGTGGCCCTCTGCCCCCCATGCTGCAGTAATGCGGTTACCCTAACGCTCCCTGCCCCGCCTTCCACCCGCGGCACGCAGAGGGCCACAGGAGCGTCTGCTGCAGGTCCAGGGACAGACACACACACACAGGGACACACACACGGACACACTCATACACAGCCACACACACATGGACACACACGCACTCGGACACACACACAGACACACTCACACACAGCCACACACACATGGACACACACGCACTCGGACACACACACGGACACACTCATACACAGCCACACACACATGGACACACACGCACTCGGACACACACACGGACACACTCATACACAGCCACACACACATGGACACACACGCACTCGGACACACACACGGACACACTCATACACAGCCACACACACATGGACACACACGCACTCGGACACACACACGGACACACTCATACACAGCCACACACACATGGACACACACGCACTCGGACACACACACGGACACACTCATACACAGCCACACACACATGCACTCTGATGCACATTCACTGACACAGACACCGAGGCACACACACTAATACACCTCCACACACACGGACACACACGCACTCGGACACACACATTGACACAGACACACTGACATACACACGTGCACACTGTGACACACACGGACACACAGACAGACACACTGACACACACCTGGACACACATGCAGTCTGACAGAGACACACACAGACGCACACACACTGACACATGCAGTCTGACACAATCACACTCAGTGACACACATTGACACACACAGAGATACACACATGCATTGACACACACAGACTGTCACACATGCACTTTGACACACCCAGACTCACTGACACACCCAGACACACAGGACTGACACACCCAGACACACCGACACACACTCTGACACACTCACACTCAGTGACACACATGAACTCTGACACACTCACATTCACTGACACACCCAGACACCCTGACGCCCACATGCACTCACACACACACTGAGACACACACTCCAGCACACACACTGACAGACACTGACACACTCAGTGACACACTGAACTCTGACACACTCACATTCACTGACACACCCAGACACCCTGACGCCCACATGCACTCACACACACACTGAGACACACACTCCAGCACACACACTGACAGACACTGACACACCCAGACACACTGACACACACTCTGACACACTCACATTCACTGACACACCCAGACACACTGACACACACATGCACTCACACACACACTGAGACACACACTCCAGCACACACACTGACAGACACTGACACACCCAGACACACTGACACACACTCTGACACACTCACGTTCACTGACACACCCAGACACACTGACACACACATGCACTCACACACACACTGAGACACACACTCCAGCACACACACTGACAGACACTGACACACCCAGACACACTGACACACACTCTGACACACTCACGTTCACTGACACACCCAGACACACTGACACACACATGCACTCACACACACACTGAGACACACACTCCAGCACACACACTGACAGACACTGACACACCCAGACACACTGACGCCCACATGCACTCACACACACACTGAGACACACACTCCAGCACACACACACTGACAGACACTGACACACACAGGCACTGACGCACACACTGACCCGCACGCTCACACACACCCTGACGCTCACACACACGCTAGTATGTTGGGAACAGCTGCACTTCCTGTGGAGGAAAGAGGACTCCCTGCCTGGAGAAGCCCCCAGATGGGGGACCGGGAGGGAACAGAGCAGGAAGGGGGAGCTAGAGCCCCCCAAGCCCAGGGCCTCGTGGGACCTTGTCCTGCGGCCTGCAGCCGGCCCAGATGCCAGCTCCTGCCATGCTGCTCTGCTTTGAGGTCACTCAGTTCACTCAGCAGCAGCCTCAGTTTCCCCCGGGCTGCCCGCGGAGCCTGGGGTGACTCCTGACGGCTGGGGCCAGCCTGAGGCCTGTTGTCCTCTGTCCAGTTCGCCCCCCCGCTCCGAGCCGGGGCTGGCTGAGGCCAGTGGGTTGGGGCTCCCTGGCGCGCCCCCATCCCGCTGGCCACGTGTGAGTCCCACGGGCCATTGGTCACCCACCCAGCCGTGAGAGCCCAGACACGGCCCTGCCAGCACCGCCTGCCCCATGGCCTGGCCACCAAGCGGCGGGGGTCGGGGGGGGGGCTCTCCTGGGCCAGGGGAGCAGAGAAGGAGCTCGGTTAGCGGAGCCCAGCAACAGAGCCAGAGAGAACAAAGGGGCTGGAGCCATGACAGCCAGAAAGAGAAACAATAGGAAAGGGACGGTCACGTCAGGGCGGGGGGGGGGGGGCGGAGCAACAGGAATCTGAGGGGGAGGGGGATCCTTCCCTCCTAGGCAGGGGCCCATGGTCAAGTGACATGGGGGGAGGCTGAGCGCCCTGATCTCCGGGGGGGGGCGGCCCCAGGGTGCTCTGGTCTGGGGGGGCTCTGATATGGGGAGGAAGGGCTCCAATCTTGGTGGGGGGCCTCTGATCTCCGGGGGAGCCGCCCCAGGGCGCTCTGATCCCCTCCCGGGGGGGGGGGGCCGCGAAGCTTGGCCGAGGCCCGCCCGCTCCCCCTGCCGCGAGGGGCGAACAAAGGGCCTTGACACCCCCGCTGCCTGCGCCCCCCCAAACAGCCTCTGCGAAGTACTACCCATGGGCCGGCTGGAGAAAGGCGGGGGGAGCCCATGGTGGGTCCACAGATACCCCCGCAGGCCCGGGGCCGGCCGCAGATGCTGGGGGGTGGGCAGCTGCGCCCCCCCGGATTAATCACCCGCCTGGCGGGGCTGCGGGGACTCGCAAACCATATGGAGCCTGGCCGGCTCCTAATCGAACCGCTGAGGGAGCCGACACGCCTGGAGAGGAGGCCGCGGCCCGACGCCGCGGGGGAGGGTCCGACCCCGGCCATGGGGGGCCGCCCCCGCTCCGCACGGTCACCCCGGTCCGAAAGTGCCTCTCGCCCGGCAGCAATAAGGCCCGCAGCCGGCTGTGAATAAGGTGTCTCCATTTATTCAAACTATATACACCCAAAAGGGGGGGCGGGCCCAGGCCCACTCACCCTCCCCGGGGGGAGAGCCAGGAGCAGGGGCCGGAACTGCGGACCACGGAGGGGGGCCGGGCGCCCCCCTGGTTCCTTTCACCGACTCCCAGAGCCCCCCGTTCTCACTGAGCCGCTCCCCCCAGGCCAGCCCCCCCCCCCCCAGCCCGCGGCAGGGAGCAGCCCAGAGATAGGGACACACCCGACGGGACCAGACGACACTATAAAATAAAATAAAATAAAATAAAATAAAATAAAATTGCACCAATTCCCCCGCGAGGGCGACTGGAGGGGGCGGGGGCCAGGGCAGGTCTGGGGAGGTGGGTACCCCGCGCCCGGGGAGGAGGCAAGGCGGGGTGGGGAGGAGGAGGGAGTAGATGGTAGGTAGGAAAGGCGGTTTGGTGTGGGTGGGTACCCCACGCCTGGGGGGGGGGGGGAAGAGAAGGAGGGGTAGGCAGGGGTACTCGTTCCCGGGGGTGGGCACGCAGGGGTGTGTGTGGCTAGGGTAAAGTAGGGACGGATGGGGTCGGGGAAGGGTATCCCGCGCCCCGGGGGAGGGGGCAGGAGGAGGGGTAGGCAGGAGGAAGGGTACCCGCGCCTGGGGGCGGGGGAAAGAGGGGGTTGGCGGGGGTGGTAGAAAAGTACCACGCCCCTGGAGAAGGAGGAAGGGGTGGGGGTGGGGAAGGATACCCCGGGCCCTGAGCTGGGAAAGAGGTGGGGGTAGGCGGGGGAAGGGTATCCCGGCCCCGGTGGGGTAGGCGAGGGAAGGAGGGGGTAGGCGGGGGGAAGGGTACCCGCCAGAAGGGGGGAAGAGGTGGGGGGAAGGAGCGGGGAAGGATATCCCGGGCCCAGAGGGGGGGAAGCCGTGCGGGGAAGCGGGGGGCAGGTGGGACGAAGGGTACCGTTCTCCGAGGGGGGAAGGGGTGGGGGCAGGCGGGGGAAGGAGGGGGCAGGCGGGGGGAAGGGTTCCCGCGCCCTGGGGGGGGAGGTAGGCACAGGGGGCTCCCCCCTCAGTGAGGTGTATTTGGTAAGTCCTAGGCTCTCAGTACAGAGGGGCGCAGGCAGGGGGCCCGGCCCGGCCCGGCCCGGCCCCCCGGCCCGGCTGCCTGGAGGGTCCCGCCGCGGGCCCCGGGCGCTCGGCCCCTGCCCCTAGTCGTCCACCTCGATCTCCTCCTCAGAGCAGGGCTCGGGGCCCGGGGGCTCGCCGAGCTCGGCCATGCCCGCCAGGCTCTCCAGGGCGGCCGGCGGCAGCTTCTTGAGCGACTCCACGTCGGCCTTCATCTCCTCCAGGTCCCGCTTGAGCTTGGCGCGGCGGTTCTGGAACCAGGTGATCACCTGCGCGTTGCTCAGCCCCAGCTGCTGCGCCAGGTGGTCGCGGTCGGCCGGCGCCAGGTACTTCTGGTAGAGGAAGCGCCGCTCCAGCTCGTGGAGCTGGTGGCTGGAGAAGGCCGTGCGCGACTTCCGCCGCTTCTTGGAGGCCGGCCGCGGCCCGAAGGCGCCCAGCGGGTCGCGACCTGCGAGGGGAGAGGGAGAGGCGGTCAGGGCGGCTGCTGGCCGGGGGCACCTTCCCTGCACCCGCCCCCAGCCGGGGCCTTTTCCTCGGCGCCCCGCGGCCATGGGGACGCGGCTCCGGCTCCCTATGGCGCGGCCTGCGAGCCCCCCACACGCTGCTCTGGCCCCTCGGCCCCAGATACGGCACCTCGCAGCCCGGGCTCATTTCGGCTGGGGGGGGAGAAGAAACCCCCTCCCCCGCTCTGTGCGGAACAAAGAAATCCGGGGCCCGGGAAAGCAGCTGAGATGGGGGCAGCGGGGCGGGAGGGAGAACTGGGGCAGGGCCCAGTCTCGCACCCACGGCCTCCCTCTGCCCGTTTGCGGGGGACCCAGCGCGTCTGCCCTTCTCCCCCTGCAGCCCCGAGGCCTGTCCATGAACCCCGCGGCCCCGGGGAGCGGCCCCGTTCCGTAGCGCTCGGGGCCCTGCCCCGCACCCGCTGCCAGGGGCAGAGCCGGCTGCTGTGACTTGCCCCGCTCCCTGGACTTCACCGGGGCTGGGGCAGCTCGCAGCAGCGGCGGATCTGGCCCTGCGGGCAGCCCGCGGATTGTCCTTCGGGCTGAGGCCGGGCCAGCGGCGAGGGGCCGCGGACAACTGGAGACAAACTAGGCGAAGACACTGGAGTGACCCGAAATCTCCCGGCCCGGCCCAGACTGACACAGACGCTCCCGGCCGCGGCGAAACTCTCTTCTCCGCGCGGATTCATGTCCAGGCGCCGCAGCCCTGTAGCCCGGACCCAGGCAGGGCGCGGGAGCAATGCGGGGAGCGAGCCGGGGCTGGGGGTTGCGGGGACAGGGGCCGGCGGCCAATCTCGCTCTAACACACCGCGGTCGCTGCGCTGGTTACAATCCGTGCGTGTATTCGCCGACTCTGAAACGAAAATCTCCTGGCTTAGAGACCCAGGCCGGTTTAAAACAGCCCGCACGTTTCCTCGTCTTTCTTCCGTTTTAGCAATCCGGGCGCGTTTACTTGGGAAGTAAAATCTCCCCGAGGAGACCGCTGCGGTGGCTTCTGCCCCGGACCGTCCCCGGGCACCCGACAGAGGAACGGGCCCCGGCTGACGATCTGAGACGCGTTTGTGTAGAAGACCGAATATTGGGTCTTTCTGTCGGCTAGCAAGGCGTCTGTCCCGACACCGCGCTCCAGCGGGTACGAAACAGACCCGCTGGGGAGACCGGAGACCGGTGTGCGGGGACCGGATTGTCTGAAAAGGTCGGGCACGTTCGAGTCTCTTCCTGAACTTTCGGAGGGGCGCGCACGGGGATTTCTCGGCAGTAATGTGCTCGCTCCGATACAGTGAATACACCCCGCTCTGCCTGCAAACCCGCAAGCGGGAAAATACAGCAGGACTCAGCGGGTTCGTATGAGCTTAACGGGTCCTGCGGAAGAAACGATTTTAGACACCCCTTGGCCGATGTCTGCCAGTGGATTGGGTAGTTCAGCGCACCCCGCGAGCTGAGTCGAATCACACATTTCCCGGGACCCGGGTCGATTGGGTGTGCCAGGTAGAAAGTCCGAAATAAACTAGACGATGCGGGTTAGCGCGGGATTTCTCGCGTCCCGCAGTCTATTTGCTGCAGCTCCTTGGCGGCGCATCCCTGGCTGCTCGTACGCCGGGCTCTGTTCGGAATACAGACGTGTGCGTGAGTCTCAGAAAAACGAAAACTTGGTGTAATACGCGGGGCTCTGACCGCAAACTCAGAGCCCGCGTTTCGCACCGCTCGGCCCGGGAGAGCGGACTCCAGCGCGCGTTAGTGTAAATCGCGGTGTTCTCACGCGGGCTGCGGAACAAAACTTTGTCCCAGCGACACGCGGAGTATTTATTTAACCGGTGCAGTTATTGTACAATGTCTGTGTAAACCGAAACGGGAACCTGCCGCTCATTCCTTCGCGTTGGGAGGGTGCAGCCCCGCGGAGAAGCGCTCGGCAGCTGCACGGACATCGCTGGGATCCGTCTGCCGGGCTCGGTCTGTCTGGTTGTCCGTGGGTCGGTCTGTCTAGGAAGCGGGGAAGGAGTCTTCCACGCAGACAAGCCCCGGCGCAAGCTAAGGCAGCGGCTCGCGCCCTTTCCCGGCCGCGGAGCCGCTCCGGAGTCTGATCTGTCTGGGGCACCCCAAATCCCAAAGCCAGAGCTAAGGATACAGAAGTGTCCCTGCTCACCGGCACCGAACAATGGCTGCCTTCCTCATTGTTACCACGGAATTACAAAATAAATCCGTTGGGCTAGAAATACGGCGCTTACATTTCAGCGTACAGCGGCATAGGCAAGCCATTGTCTGGAGGGAATGTTCGGTTGTCCTGACTTCGCTGGTGCTTTTGTTGTCCCTGTTGGACAACTAGGCAAATCTCTAGAGAGGTGCTGTCCCCCTGGCAGACCCCTGCGTACCCCCGGGGTACACGAACCACCCGGCTGAGGATCTCGAAAACTCAGCCCCGTCTCTCTAGCTTCCCCGCTCGAAGCGCGCAGGCCCCGGTCCCTGCGACTTTCCCCTGCTCGACTTTCCCCAGGGCTGCATTTCGTTCCCTGGCCGCTCTGGCTGCAGCCCCAGCCCGGCCCGGTTTCACCCTTACCGGCGGTTGCAGAAACTCCCCTGCCCCGGGCGCTTTCGCTTTCTCCGGGACCGAAGTGTCCCAGGCCCCGGGCTGGAGGGCCGCGGGGCCGCCAGGGTCCCGGAAAGAGCCCGGTGCAATTCGGGGTCGCCTCCCCTTCCCTTCTCCCAGGGATCGGCCGGGTCACCGCGGTGCTCCCCGCCTGGCAGCCAGGGTCGGCAAGGCCCGGCTGGGGAGCGGGCAGGGCCAGGAGCCCAGGGGGGGCTGCCCTGGCCCTGCTTTCCCCGGGCCCCTGTCCCGCCCCGGCCGCGCCCCGGTACCTTCCGCAGCCTGCAGCACGTTCACCTCCAGCCCCTGGAAAGTTTTGCTGGCCAGCTCCTCCAGGGCGCAGAGCGGGGAGGACGGGGCAGGCACGCCGTTCCGGGGCGCTCCGGAGTCGGCCGCTTTGTCCAGCAGCCGAGGCGAGGGGGCGCAGGGCGCTTTCCGCACCGACGGCTTGCTCAGGATGTCCTCGATGCTGAACGGGGTCAGCGGCTTGTTGGAGTTGGCCGGGGGCGGCAGCTGGTCCAGCGGGCTCCTCCGCCTCTCCTGGCCGGAGGGATACAAGAGGGGGCCCGCCGCCTTCCCTTCCTTGGCGGAGGTCATGGCCCCAAATGAGGGGTGCGCCCGCCAGCCCCCGGGCTCCTGGCTCCGCGTCCTCCGCCGGGCAGGGGCTCAACAGCCCCCCCGGGCCATGGGGCCGGGTCCCCCCTAGGAGACTCCGCTCCCGGGCTCCCAGCCTCCGCCCCACTCCAGCTGCTGCCAACTCTCACACTTCCCCGAGTCCCCCCGGCGCGGGCCTAGGAGCGAGGGCGGCGCGGGGCCCGGCGCGCCCGGCTCCCAGCTCCGGGGCTCCCCCCAGCTCCCCGCTAACGAGTCACTGCTGATTCGGAGAGTTCAGTTCTAGCCAAAGCTTCCCCCTGGCTGGCCCGGCGCTGGAGCCTTAAAGGGACAGGGCCAGAGTCACTAATTGGGCACCGGGGTAGGAGGAGCCTCAGCTGGAGTGTTAGCAAAGTTTGGGAGTGGGAGGGGGACCCCCTTTACAAGGCCCCGCTGCGGGGGGGGTCCCCGAGGCTCAGGCCCCGCTGCGGGGGGGTCCCCGAGGCTCAGGCCCTGCTGCGGGGAGGGGGGCGGTCCCGAGGACCAGGCCCAAGAAGCCCTTTGCAGACACAAGCGGCCCAGTTGGTCGGGAGCCCGAACCTGCGGCCTCTTGACCTGGGATCCCCGCAGAGCGCACGGGGCCCCCCCTCCACGGCGGTACCGCCGGCCAGAGCTCACGGCGCGGCTGGGGTTAGGGAGCCGCAAAGCGGCCTGGCCCAGGCCCTTCGGCTCTGTCCGGCTGTGCCCCACTAGGTGCCGGGAGCTCGGTCTGGCGGCTTGTGGGAGGCCTCGCTTTCCGGGCCCCCGGGGACCCGCTGCCCCGGGCCTGGCTCTGCACACGCCCAGCGCCTGAGCACTCCGGGCCGGCTCCGGCGGCGGGATGCGAGCTGTGCTCGGGCCCCCGGAGCTCTGCGGGCAGCGGTTCCCAGCGCGCCCGGCTGCGCTGCTGGCCTCGGGGTCAAGGAGGCTCTTGCGGGGGCGACCGTCCCTGTCCTGGGAGCCAGCGCGGGCGGGGCGGGCCGGGCCGACCCTGGCTGGTGGCCACTGCTGTTCTCGGGCCGTTACCGACAAATCGGCGAGCGGAGCCGGGCTGGGCCAGGCGCCCCGGGGACCCCAGCGTCCAGGGGCGGGATCGGGGCCGTTTGGGCTCAGGCGCTCGCCCCTTAGCCGCAGCGGCTTTGTCCGGAGGCTCCTGGCAGCCGCTCTCCGCCTCGCTCCGGCGGGGCCCTGGCTCGGCCTCCGCCGGGGTTAGCTGCACGCGGGGCTCCCGGCTGTTGGCTGGTTAGTGCCGGGGCTCCGGGTCCTTGTCAGCCTCCCCGGTGGTGGCGCGTCTGACCCCGGCCCGGGGGCGGCCCGGGGCGGGCCGGGCTCTGCCCGTAGCTGCCCTGCGGCTGTCGCGAGTGGGACTTGGGTCGTGTGGACCCCATGAGCGACCGAGCCGTCCCTGCTCGCCGCCTGCCCCTTCCAGCCCTCGGGTGGGAGCCGCGGCTGCAGCCTGCCGAGCCCCAGGCCCGGGCCCAGCCTCCCCCGGCGCCCCGGCCTCTCCAGCCCGCTCGCTAATGCAAGGCAGACCCGGCCCCAGCCATATAAAAGGCGAAAAGGCGAGCGATAAAAGGCTTTTCCTGGACTATCGTAAAGAGCTTTTCAAAGTTCCTGCGGCCGGCGGGCCCGGGCCATGTGCGGCGCGTCTGGGCCGCGCCTCCCCTCCCCACTGCAGCCGGGTGCTCGGCTCCCTCCTGCGGCCCTTCACCCCGGCTTCCCCGTCCCCCCTGCGGGGCTTCTGCCGTCCCAGAAATTTATTAGCTCCCTTGCTCTAAATGCCCCATAAAAGCGCAGGGGCCGCCGCGTCTGGCAGTGATTAGGGCTCCGGGCCCGGGGCTCTGCGCTGGTTTTGGGTTTCAGTGAGCGGCCCGGCTATAAACCCGCTTACAAATAGCTTTATGATCCGGCGCACTTGTAAACCCCCCTGCGCTGCGCCAGCTGGGCCGGCAGCCGGGGACCCGCGGCCAGGCTGTCTGGGGCCGGGACACACACAGAGCGCGCCCGGGACAGGTGAGCGCCCTTCTCGGCCCCCGGGGCGGACAGGGAGAGTGCCCCGCGCCCCGGCCAGCCCGGGCCCAGCTGCGATCCTGGGTTCAGAGCGGCACTGGGAGACAGCCCCCCCGCCCCCGCGTGCAGTGTCTCTCCGCGGGGCTGGAGCAAACCCGCTGAGCAAGGATCATCCTGCACCCAGCGACCCAGGGAACCCGCCATCGACCCCCGCCCGCGTCTCAGTGCACTGACCCCCAGCCAGACCCCCCCCGGCTACACGGCTGCCCCGCACCCCCACAAACACACACTGCTACAGACACCGCGATCTCCCCTATTCCCTAGACGGGTTGTGTTTGCTGCGCACTCCTGTGTCTGCCCAGCGCGCACGGAGACACACAGACAGACAGACAGACACACACACACACAGACCCAGACAGACAGACAGACACACACACAGAGACCCAGACAGACAGACACACAGACACAGACAGACACACACACACACACACACAGACCCAGACAGACAGACACACACACAGAGACCCAGACAGACAGACAGACCCAGACACACACACACACAGACCCAGACAGACAGACAGACAGACCCAGACAGACAGACAGACACACACAATCACTGCTATTCCCTACACGCGCAGAAGCACAGATAAATGTTAATGATCTCTCTAGCAGTCCGATACAAATCGATCCATCCCCATAGACACCCGTCGGTCTCATCGGTCTGTCATTTCCCGTACACATCTCCGAGCTACCTTCTATCCCCAGCCACCCCCTTTATCTACCTATCTATCTATCCAGTGGGCTGTAGCTCACGAAAGCTCATGCTCAAATAAATTGGTTCGTCTCTAAGGGGCCACAAGTCCCCCTTTTCTTTTTATCTATCCCCAGCCACCCCCTGTATCTATCTCTCTATCGATCTCTGTCTGTCTGTCCGTCTGTCTCGGTGTCTCGTTCCCTTTCTCCGTTCCGGGCTGGACACGGCTCCGTTCTTTGGTGAGCCAGCGTTTTTCAGGCCAGGCCGGGCCTGGCGGGATAAAGGCGAAGCCGCAGCAGGGAGCTCCCGGGTTTTCTCTCTGGTGTCTCCAGTCTGGACGCAGCAGCCGCTGGGCCGGGGACAGGACCCTCCCGGGCAGGGTGCTGGGCAGCCCCCGGGCTGCGGGTTCGGCCCCCCCGGGCTCTGGGGTCGGGGAGGCAGGCCCCAGCGGTGTCCGGAGGGCTGGCGGAGAAGCGCCCTCCCGCAGAGCGGAGCCGAGGCCAGCGGGACCAGGTGCGCAGCCCGGGTCCCGGTACCGGCGCTAGCGGTTGTTGGCCCAGGCAGGGGCCCGGGCAGGCAGCGGGGGCGCGGCTGTCGGTCCCGGTGCTCGTGCCTGCAGCTCTGGTGCCCGGCGGGTCTGGCCCTGGAGCCCGGGCCCCGCTCCGTTCCGCGCCGGCTGCTCTAGCCGGGGAGACTCGGACACTGGGCCGCACCTGGCCTCCACGGAGTGGGGCCGTCCCCCACGGACTCGTGTCCGGCCTGGGGGTTGCAGGCCGAGGCGGGGCTGGGCTCTCAGGTCTACAGCGCAGGGAGCCCCCAGTGTCTGGCAGGGGCTGGGAAGCCCCCAGCCCGGTGGGGTGCAGCGGGGTTCAGCGCCCGGCGCGGCAGGAGCTGAGGGACAGACAGACACCCGGAGAGACGTGCCCGGCCCCGCAGTTAGAGGGCCGCACGCCGGGATGCCGTCCCGCCACAGCCCCCGGGGGCGCACGCACACGCGTGGGAGCGCTCCTGGCGCGGAGCTGCAGGGGCCGCTGGTGACGTTTGATCTTGAGCACCCGGGGAGCGGGGCTGGGGCCCCGCGTGGCAGCCCCCGCCGGGCCCGGTGGGGAGACCGGGACCCCACCCGGGACCGTGCGGGCCGGAGAACGGCCGCCGCGGACGCCAGGGACAGAGCCACCGCCCCGGGCGTGGCTGGCTCCGGCCTCCCCCCGGTCCCATCGGCGGGGAGAGGGGTAGCGGAGCCCTGGGGCTCCCCGCGGCTCGCAGCCACCTGGGCGCCCGAGCTGCGCCCCGCGGTCTGGCGGTGAAGGGGTTAAAAGCTGCCGGCACTCAGCCGGGCCGCGGCCCCGCTCCCCCGCCCCCGGGGCTTGGAGACTCGATTGCGGAGATAGACGGGCCGTTCACACGAGCCATTGGGAGCGGCTGGATCCTTCCGTAGCGCGCAGGGGGAGCCGCGCCATATGGTGACAGCGGTGCGGCCCCGCCGGGGAGCGGGACAGACAGGAGCAGCCGGGGGAGAGGGGGTGTGTATACACACACACACACACACACACACAGACAGACAGAGCCTGGGGGTACACACACACACACAGACAGAGCCTGGGGGTACACACACACACACACACACACAGACAGCCTGGGGGTACACACACACACACACACACACACACACACACACACACAGAGCCTGGGGGTATATACACACACACACACACAGAGCCTGGGGGTATACACACACACACACACACACACAGAGACAGCCTGGGGGTATCACACACACACACACACAGACAGCCTGGGGGTACACACACACACACACACACACAGAGACAGCCTGGGGGTACACACACACACACACACACACACAGACAGAGCCTGGGGGTAATACACACACACACACAGACAGCCTGGGGGTACACACACACACACACACACACAGAGCCTGGGGGTATACACACACACACACACACACACACACACAGACAGCCTGGGGGTATATACACACACACACACACAGAGCCTGGGGGTATATACACACACACACACACACACACACACACACACACACAGCCTGGGGGTACACACACACACACACACAGACAGCCTGGGGGCACACACACACACACACACACACAGAGCCTGGGGGTACACACACACACAGACAGAGCCTGGGGGTACACACACACACAGACAACCTGGGGGTCACACACACACACACACACACACACACACAGACAGAGCCTGGGGGTACACACACACACACACACACACAGACAGCCTGGGGGTATATACACACACACACACACAGACAGCCTGGGGGTACACACACACACAC